CTTCCGTTTCCCGTGAGATTTCATCGGGGTGGGGCTAATATCGATCGCAACCCTCGCGTGCGCCCTACAGTTTCCACCCTTACTCTCAGATGCGCAGCAGCCATGGGGACTCCAACCACGTAGCAAAACATTTTTTCTCCCTCAAATAACAACGCTCTGTGGATCTTGCTCTTGGGGTCACACATTGCATTAAATTAAATCACAAGCCACGTGCGATCTATAGTCTTAATTAATCCTCTTAATTAAAGCTATAGCTTCGACAAAAAATAGCAAATATTTAAAAAAATCTTTTTTACGTGGTTTGTATCAGCATAAAGAATTTAACATATTGCTATCTTTTTAAATGCAGTGTACTTAAAATAGAGTTACATTTATATAACGCTAAATGGGAATAAGTTAGAAAAGATAAGAAATACTTTTTTACTATTTTTTTATTATACATTTATTTATACTTGATAGTTACTCGAAACGATTTAATTATTAGGCTATGGTAGAATATTCAGAAATAACTACACTCTTTTTGACACATTTTTTATTTCTTTTGTTATTGTGGATTCTGTATATCGTTAATCTATCATTAATCGTTCACAACAACTGTATAGAAATTATACTTGCGAAAAGACGATAAGGACTGCGGCAGATTGGTGGAGGGGGTTACTCAGCGAGTTGTCAACGTCTCTCTTGCTGCACGCTACGCTGCAGTAAATGGTATCATTTACTGCAACGTGGCACGACAAGAATAGCTTAAAAATAAGGCACAACAAGTAATGTAGCTAAAGCAGGTCGCAATTGCTTGTCAGTGTGCTGATCTTTGTGCGAAATTTGATTCTGATTGACACTGATTGGTTTAGCTGTCGTATTCGATGAAAATAGTGTCGAAACAATGTAAATGATACAGTCGGTTCTTATTAACATACTGCTTGTTGCCAAGCTGTGAGCTAAGTCACACATCGTATTTTAACATCCGAGAAAGATCATGATATCTTTTGCTTCATTTAAGCGAATGGAAACTGCGGAAGATGAAGCTTTGAAACATAATAAATAATTGCATCTTATCAAGTAGTTATCAAGATAATCAATATGTTACTTCGACAAACACACACACACAGTCCTTATTCGTAGGTCCAGATTAGGCTCGTAATTTTCATCATGAGAGCTTAGTTATAGTAGGTAAGTGGTGCGAATTACTAACCGATAAATACGTTATCTATGCTTATGGTCGCCGTAATAAAATGGATGCTATCGTGGTATGCTTCGTTGACTGTCCAGGTAACACCGTCCAGGAGGCCGAGACAGTCTAACACGCCGATCGTGTCCTGTATAAATACATACACATATATCTACTTACACGTACACGTGTGCGTGGACGGGATCTTCATTCAATATTTAATCGGCGATGTTCTCGAGCAAGACGAGAAGAGCCAGGTTTTCTCCATACGTCGCATCTCGCCCGTGATTTACGTCCGCGTCCGGAGCGCTCTCTGCCCTTCCCCATAGCAATCCGCTCCTGGACGACGATGGAGTACCGGGGGTATAAATTATCCCGCGGACTAATTAACATTGTTGCCGATATCGCGCGAACGCCTTCGCGGTAACGCGAAAGGATACGAAGATTAATCGCGCGCCTTTGCGATTCGGCGCACCGTGTCAAAGACGTTCCTTCGCAGAGGCGCGCCCTGGATCGCTCGGGGATGTATTCGCGCGACGGAGTGCACCCGGAATCGCATATCACACGTCAGTCTAGATAGACATTGATTTATTGTACGCGCGTGTAATAGAGATTATTTATTATTTTATGCGCTTCTCTTTCATAGCAGCACGGTCGGTCTCATATCTCGGTTCTGTAATTGATGACTATATTGCAATGGAATGTGCCTTCTAGTTTCGCGTACCTTAGGTCATTGTATGATTACGACATTGCACATTGGTTTTATAATGTCAAATTATGGGTATTCAATTCGAGTTATTTGTATGTAATCATTTCTGTAGGTCTCATCACTGTTTCTATTCAATATAAAATGTTAATTTAATGAAAACAATAAAATCGAACCATTTAATGATTAATACATTTAAGAAAATGTAAATTTAATTAAATTTTATTTAAATTTACTTTATTATTTACTTATTCTTAGTGTACCCTTCAATATGAACGTTGTTTATTGCGAAATTAACCACATAAATCGATTGATTTATATTTGACACATATGGGCGTTAAAAATAATAAAATGTTATTTTTAACTTCAGAGCTTGGGCTATTGTTCCTTTGATATTTAACAATATAACAGTAACTGAATAAACTGAAAGCGAATTTCGATGAAAAAATACGAACGACTTGTTCACTAGATCCATTTGAGTTTCGAAAGATCCAACGCGACAGACATTTGATTTCTTTTCTAACTTGTCTCTAAATTTTCCAAATTTCTTTTCCCTTTGTATTTTTCCGACGTGACGCTAATAAATCGCAATTGCGATGGATGCAACATCATCAATTGCGGGTTAAATCCTTCTCACAGGAGCGCATTTCGTAATGCGATGACATGATATTTCATTGTGCACTTGAGTACTCGTTGTGTAATTATCCACGTTCATATCTCTCTTTGATGTTGCACAATGATCATACGTACTCGCTATCGCGGCCATTTATATGCCCGTGTATTGACGATTGGCGACTTCTCGTTACCGAGACTACCGTAGGCTATACGATCGTTTCTTCAGCAGTTTCCGTGCAAATACATGCGCGATACACGTATCATACAATTACATATGCACATCTCTTATCCATGGTTCAACCGTTATGGTAATTCAGCTCGATAGTGGAGAACACGACGCAATGCGAAATACACGCCGATTTCACATATCAAGAAAGAAAATGAGTTATGGCGTACATGACATATGTGCGTATGAGTATGTATATCGTATAGTATAGTCGAGGCGCAGAGAAAAGAGTAATTATTATTGGTTACCGAGGCAGTTAGCACGGGCCATCGATCGATTCATTAACCATCTAGCTAGCCAGCGTCCGGTTGTTCCGAGTTTCTCTAATAGGTTTGGATCTCATTGTAATAAAGTACCTAACGTCGTGCTGCGGAAAACGAGAGTAAAATTTACGAGGGAGGGGAAAGCATCGATTTCGCCGTCGGTTAATAATTTGATTAAAGCACTAAACACGTTTTCAATCGCACTTCGAGAAAAGGAGAGAAAGAGAGGGAGAGAAGGAGTCGCTTAGGAGAACCGGCCGTCGCTTATTGTTTTGGCTGTTTTGTGCCGCACAATGAACAGTTTCGCTCTGTTCTATTACGCTCTTGATTTATTCTTCGCGTGCACTTTTCCGGTCGCGACGCGCGAGGAAAGGCACATGATCAGACACTCGAGGGAACTTTCCCCCTTGATGGCACAAGAGCAGCGGCAGACGAAGGAGACACGCGCTCCGAATGAGAGCTGCTTATGCTGCTCGAAAGATTAGCCCGACTTCGCTCCCACGCCTCATCTCGCTATCGCATGATCGCAGAGATTCGATCTCCAGCCGGGTTCTCGCAGGCCTTCCTCTCGCAGAGAACGATATAAAACCAGCTCTCGATCCGCTCGCGCAGCTATTTTTGTTCGTCGCAGAAACATGCAAACTTTGCTAGTTCAAGATTTACTCGGGAACGGATATTCGTTTGCAACTTTCGCGCGCTTACGTGGAAGTCTGAAGATGAGATCGCGGAACCTTGACAGTGACGTGATCATCTATTTCGCGGATTCAGCGAAATAGATGATCACATTGTCGAGGCTGTGCTGAATCATGCATAAAAATAGTTAATTAAACACTTTTCGAAAGCAGTTTGCAGTAGAAATTGAAACCGCCAGAAGATCACTTAGGAATGTACTAATCATTTTATATTTATTAATTATCAATAATTTTTAAGATATTTTAAATAGGGAACTTTAAAAATTAAATATCTTGTTTAAAACAAATATCTTGTTTCAATTATTAAGAAGGATTTGAAATATACAAATGACGTTAAAACATTATTAACATTTTAATGATGCAATTGTTGCAAATATTTTATAATAAATACTTAGAAATTTTGAATAGATATCTTTAAAAAATTATGAGCATCTTGTTTGAGTCATTAAGAAAAGAATTTGAAATAGAAATATAACATCAAAACGTTTGTTATCAATATATACATTATTTTCATTGATACAATCGTTACAAATATTAACAGCTGCGCATTACACCTTGACTATTTCTTCTCTTCTTATTGTGCTTGCGAGGAATTGATCTCATCTTCTGGTTATTCTCATACCTACTTGACCGATGCGAGGGGAGGTAGCTGGAGCACTTTATATTTGTATTTCACGCGCGCGATGACTCAGGTCCTCGGAAGCGGCGCATCGTCGTATTTCAAAGAGCAGGAAACTAAAAGGCTGGCGCATTATGAAATCGGAAATATTACGGGAGGAAGTTGTATTCCCGGTGGTATTATGGGCGCATGCTTCGCATAGCCGCGGTGTAAAATGTCATCGTTATGCATCGCTTAGAGTTGATATTAGCTAACTACAACATCATCCTTGTCGTCGTTTCTCGTCGATATTTATTATAAGCTTATTATTTTACGTGTCGCATTGCAACTAGTCGAATGATTGTTGTCGATATAGTTGTGCCTAACTATGTACTATCTAATCGATCTTACAGATTATACATTATTATGAAAGCGATCGAGTGACCGGTCGCGCCATATCGTTCAACTTTCGAGCTGACGCAATTCTTATCGCGCACAATCGAGATTTTTTTTGTATTATGTAAATTAATCAGTCGCGAAACGTGAATGTACCGTGGGAAAATTTCTGCCACTGATATTTGCTAGATTTATAATGTAGAAATACAACAGATCAGCGATAGACGTAATGACAATGGAGAATGCGAGCAATTAATGAACCTATATGAACTTAATTAGTTTTATGTTAATATTTGTATATTTCTTGGGAATAACATACATTTATTCTTGTAATAGGTGATACCGGCAGATCGCCGGCCGCCGGAGAAAGAAGAGACATGGACTCTGACTGCTGATCAGCAGGATTCGTGCGTCTGTTTTGACGGTGCCGTCGATTCCAAGGTGAAAGAGGCGCACAATTCCGAGAAAACACAATTGAAAACGCCTGCGGAAGTAATATCAGTGGATGCGAGTGATAACGTGGACAACACTTTGCCACGCAGCCAGGAGACCAGGAAAAGTAAGACTAAGAAAGTGAAGAGCTATCTGAAGAAGTGCAAGGGCGCGCTGTCGAAAGGTGATGAGAGCGTCACAGACAAGAGACGCCACGAGAACTGCACTTCATGGTACTTGGACGACGTTTCAACTTGCGCGAGTCAGCAAGAGGATCACGACGAACCTTCGGAGAAATACACGGAATTCCCTGAAGAGAGACTCGAAGAGGCGGTCCGCGATGTGGAGTCTGTCGAAGATCCTGTGCCTGAAACGCTCGAAGAGAATTTCTTGAGGGGCGAGAACTTCGAGGAAACTCCGCATGATGCTCTCACCAGACTATTGGAAGAGGATCATAGGGCTGATCTTAGCAGAAGCAGAACGTCTTTGTATGAGGATGCCAAAGATGCAAATCCAGAACAACTTGTCTCGGACGAGAAAACTCTGACGAAGGAATCAGAGCTTTTCCGTGATGAAGAAAAAAAAGACGCGGCGATCTCACTCGAGACATTAACGACGGAAGACACGAATCTGAATAAGTGCGATTCGAACGATACATTGATAGCAGAAGTTCCGGAAGCAAACGAAACCGCGACAGATCTTAACTCGGAATTAACGATTATTGTGAAGGAAGAAGAAGACGCACCGAAAGATCCTGTGGACGAGGAGATACTGGTTCCTGCATGCTGTGGGGTAAGTCCGTTCGAGTATTTTGAATATCTCGATTAGTGAAATTTATTATAAAATAATATTTCAGAATGGAGTAAAATTTAAAGATTTTAGTCTTTGTTTCTGATAATTCAAAAAAAGTTCGATTCTCACAATTAAACAACATAAGCTGAGTTTCTACTGAGAAATCGTTTGTACGTGTATAAACGTAGATTTTATTCGATAAAGTGTGGAATAAATCGGACGTCGTGTTTCGCGAGAGCGTTTACGGGAGAACGATCGTCGGTATAAATCATGACGAAGAAAAATAAAGCGCCGTAAATCAAAACGAAGGAAAACGCAAGTACGCCGTATTTCTTCCTATCCGTGGAAATTACGTTTTAATCATTGCTAGTAGCGCATTAAGAGCAAGAACATAAATTATGAACAGGGAAGCCTTCCTTTGCCCATACACGGTATATGTGTTGCAATTCGCTTTACTGCTTTGCGCGCGGTAACCATAGTTGTGGTTTGTATTCAAATGGATGGACATTGTGCGCTTCTTTTAACATACATGTGTACGTTCTTTGACGGCACCGCTAGTGTCGACGCGAGATTACGGTCATCGAACGTATACGGCTTATCGAATATCAGAAAGATTTAATATTATTTGCAATTATGAAGTTCTGTCGTTTATCTTTATAAATATTCATGTTGACAATAATGATGAAGCAACAGCAATACAACAAAATTTATTAGCGAGAGATATTACAGATATTTGTTACAAGATGATTTGCATTACGTTATATTTTACTTTTAGGCTTTCTCATGTTAATTTCAGATATTTTTTATAATTCTTTTCTCTTCATTATTTTTATCTCTGTTTTGTCATTCTTATAAACGTATAAACGTTCCCTTTTTGTATTGAATTCGTTTTTCTTTTATTCCTACTAGATTCAGACTTTTAGCCGTTCGTTATCAATAAATATTGATTATATTGCTCAGTCCCACGATATTTATTTTATTCAATTAATCGTTGTGTATCATGTAGAATTTGATGTAGGCACCGATTAGAATTCATCTCCTTTGATCGCGTCTTACTGGTGACAATTCACGCGAAGAAATATGACAGTGAATATATCTGATATAGAACGTTATTTCGCCTAACGCTTATGACATCCTGATTGAAAGTTTAAGCATCTCAACTTTCTCTGCACGGCCTCGTCCAGAGACATGCCCCTCGTGCCACTTGACTTATTCGCATTCATGTACATCTTGCATGGAACTTGTCTAATCTGCATTAATGCAAAATATACATAAAATACTTATTCATTTATTAATATTTTTATTTATTTTTGTTAAAATTTAATACATTAAAGGGCATATTAATACACATTTTAACATTAGATATTAGATTACTCTGTTTGTATTTACATTTTTTTTCTACAGATGATTGTGATACCTATGTATGATGTAGAAAAAAAAGAACGAAACAGTAGTAATATTAGGAATACTTTGCTATTAATTTTTTACGTGCCTATCTCTTTAACATTGAGATAATATCATCAATATCTTATTCAAAATTAATGTTATTATTAAATCTTAGTATACATTGGGTCATTCATATTCTGAGTATTTTTTTTAAATACCATAAACACTTTGATAAATAATGGTCCAAGTATCTTACATACACTTTGTAAAGTACGTACATGTTAGAATCATTTAATAATTTTTGTATACTTGTAAGAGTGATAAAAATTAATCGGGAATATGAACGATTCATTGTGTAGTAAAGGACCGGAAAATTATCGTATATTAAGAGTTAATTAAGCGTATATTAAGCGTTATTAGACGCTCTAGAAAAACTCCCTCAAATGTATTTATCAAATTTACATAATAAATATATATATGAAAGATATTCATACACAATAATAAAAAAAAAATTAAATATCTAATGGAGTGATATTTTTAACAGTATTAAAAATTGTATTAAATATAAGCAGATAAACATACTATATCTTCTAGTGCAAAAATCTATTATAGATATGATTATTAGTTGTATGGTATATTGTCGTTTTAAAATAAACGTGCAGTTTGTATAATTGGCGATTGTACGGTCGGTCGAATCGTAATCGCCAATTTTTATTGGAAAGATCGCGAGCAGGGAAGCGCGGACTCTCTCACCCAGATACCTACATAATGCCGCTTCGCCGCGAACGGAACAAGTTCGACTTCTCGGTTGCACGGGTTAGCTTAGGTTCGCCGAGGTGCTTGTTAGGGCGGACCGGGCGAGTCGGAGGTGTGTATGGGAATTGCGGGTCGTGCTCATTAATTATATCAGACGTGATCTATCTGGACCACGGTTGTGGTTGCGCGGTCGCTGGAGAGTCACCACGTGCACTCCAATACGGGCGTCGTGCATCGGCGGCCACGCCGTTTTGCTGGAGTCTTTCAAGAGGCAGAATTGTAACAAGTCCAACTAGTACCTCTGGTTAATTTACCTTTTACATTGCCCGATCCGGTAATGTTCTCCTTTGTTTTGTATTCTTTCTTATATACTGTGCTCTCATTATCAAAAATCAAATTGTATATTCGAGAAATCGCGAATTATATCGTACTCTCTAAATTCTTTGAAATGGAATCTCACTTTAAGGAGTGAAAATTGGGTCAGTCTTCAAAAAAGAGTAATTTAATTTTAAATCTTTAAGAAATAAGAATAAGATTTCACACTTCAAAGTGAGATTCACTTAAACATTTTTAGACAGTTATACGTTTTTTCTTTATTTAAAATGAAAAAATGACTGCTGTAACATTTTAATTTTATCGCGCATAACTGTAAATAACAGTTAGATTTCCAGATTACGATTCTATACGATTCTACACGTTCGAAATCGATCGTCTGACGTTCGGCTACAATTCAAAGTAATCAGTAATCATCTACATATAGCGGGACCCGGTTTTACTAGCGGGCGAGATGACGCGCCTCGCGGAAGTCCCATGGGTGCGTGCAAGTTTATTCCACTTGTCTCTAGACGAGCGACAGAGAAGTCTCGAGGCGGTGTATAGCGGAGCTTCGTGAGTGAGCACCAAGTGGTAGTTTACACCAGCATTAACTCGGACGCGAGTTGACGTCCGTCGTGTCCACGAATACGCGGCGTACGCATACACGCCATGCACGTACATACGCTCGCGAGCGGCATACGCACACGTACGTTACAGGGAGGAGTAAATCTGGCCGGTCGACCGGTGTCGATCGCCGCTGAAACGCTACCCGATCATCAGTCGTGAAAGTGTAGCTGTGGAAAATGATTACCCGCGCCAGTTGTGCTTGCTGCGCACACCCGCTTTCCTCCGTCTTTTTGTCGGGCCCTCACTCTGTTACTCTCCTTTCGCTCCCCCTTTCGTTCTATTTCTCTTGCGAGAGAGCCTCTCCTTTAAAACACGCATTTATACGGAGTGTCTTGGCATTTGCGATATACATATATATCCTGATAATGGCTCTTCGAGTTTATTGGGGTAATGAAGATATCTTTTTAAAACTTGATGAGAGACTTGCATTACAACTTTTTTCTATATTAAGTATCTTGAAAAGCAAATTGCTCGAAAATAGTTTTTGGAATTCAATGCAAACTTGTGTACCCTTGAAGTTTAATTGCTAGTATTCTTTAAATTTCTTTAAGAGTTTCTTTCAAGAGTTTGAGAATTATGCTTTTTTTGTATTGAAGAAACTATTTTTCTTGATTTGATGTTTAGTATTCTACTATTAATCTATTCAATACTAAGTTCGGAACACCCCGTATATCTATGTTCCATTACCTTCACATCGGATTATAGATTAAACCGCACCTCCAGCGTAGACGCACAGAAAACGATAAGCGGAGAATATGACGCGGGATTTATTGTAATTGGCGGTAATGACGGTTTTACGCCGCCGCCGCCGCCGCCACCACCACCAACAACCACTATATTCTTCTCTTAGCTATGCTCTTCGTCAATATGTACGGTCGTAAGTCAGGAAAACCGATTGCTAACGCACGCGCTCGCACTCATACTTGATAGGCTTTAAAGTTAGAAAGGGTAGATACCGTTGCTTTTTGCGCATTCTGGCGAATCTAACAAAATTGCATAACACTTGCAGGATAAATAGAGTTAACGTGGATTATTCTATATAAAGATTATTTAAACAATATATTTTCTAGAATGATTTCCTTCGTGGATTGACGGACGAGAGATGATCTTTTTGTAAAATTGTTTTGTTATGAAGAACAAAAAGATGCTTCTATTGCTACAGGAAAATCAAAGATCACTTAAAGTTTATGAGACATTTAAAAAAATGTTAATGTATAACTTTAATATCTCAATAGGTTTCGAAATATTCATTATATAAAAAAATTGACCCTATTAATTAATTTCACATGATTTAATTAATTAATTAATTAATTAATTTGTAATGGAAGAAGATAATTTAGCATTTTTGAAGCATTTTGGTAAATTTCCCTTTGATAAACTCTTTTTGTGAAAATCTGTTTACTGAAACAAAATGCGACAAAATCGAAATCTTGTATACTTTGCAACACAGTTGTAGAAAATTACAGTAATTCTTTTCTTTTTTTTGTCACCCAAATCACAGGGCATATTTTTATAAAGGTTCTACATTTCGAAAGCGAGGAAGGTGAAGATCGTAACAACTTTTTTTACGTGATATTTCGCTAAAGCAAAGATAATGCACCGCGAAAGCGATATAGGTTTACTGTGTTTCTTTTTGTGTTCTCCAATTCTCTGTCGTTTTTTTTTTCGATAATTTGATATGGCGTTTACGTTCATCTGTGAAAGATGGATTGTCTTCTCGCAGAAGGATAAGGATACGAGTGAGGGGAAGAAGGAGAACAAAAGGAGATTACAGGAGGAAAAAAATAATTGTAACATGTAGTGCATTCTTCTTTGTCATTCAAGATTCTTTTTGTCTTTTTTTATTAGTCCCCAACCTCATAAGTCTCGTCTTCTAACCACATCAGAATTATTATCTTATTTTTTTTCTCACCATG